TTAAACGATGCATATGAAGACTTCGACGTTAAAAAGTGAACACACACATACACATGCACACTCACATGCACAAATACACACGCACACACACAAACACACACACTGAATTTTGTTCAAATAAGTCTCAATGTGATTTTTATCTGAAGATTGCGTATACTGAAATCCTTCATTGTATGCATAAGAATAAAATCACAAACACGCACACATATATATATATATATATATATATATATATATATAATATTTGAATATTCCTTATTCAAATGGCCAATTTTAAATATTTTTGAAGGATCTATTTAATATATAGAAAAATATTTTTTTATTAAGGTACATATTCGCAGAATGTTTCATGCATAGTAATTAATTAAAAAAACACACACACATATATATATATATATATATATATATATATATATATATATATATATATATATATATATACACAGAGGGAGCGATGGATAAATTGTCGTCTAAATGAAGCAAAAATGAAAATAATGCCGACATCTCATTTTAACAGATATATTTACTAAAATTACACAGAAATATCTTGAAATACTAAAGAATGTATTTATTTAACAAAATCACTATTGGCTTCAAGCACGGCCCCCAGACGACTTCGGAATCTTCTGCATCTCTTCTAGGCGGTCTCCTTGCTTAAGTTGGTGAATGATGCCATAATCCTTGCCTTAAATCCAACTGCACCACACACATAATAATCAAGAGAGTTGCAGTCTGGAGACTTAGGTGGATAGATGTAAGGAGTGATATGGTCGTAGATATGTATGGCAGCAACTACTCGTGTGGCATTGTATAGAGTTCTTTTGCCCCATATAGTGTATTGCAGCAGCCACCATTTTAATCAGAGCAACACTGTCTCCTCAAGGCACTTGATGTTGAGTCTCTGTGGAATGACGAATGGAGGTATAATGTTGCCATTACTAGCGATCACTCCAAACCCTTCGTAATCACCATTAGACTCATCCAACTCTTTCTGATTCCTCTGCACTGGCCTCAAATTGGCAACCAAACACTCTGAAATGCTCGTATTGGAGCTTCCGGTGTGAATGCTAAGCAGTACAACATGACATTTCCAAATTTCTGGCGCAATGATTTGCGACATGGGGCTCCTTTTCTCACAGACGGTGCCCAACTGACCTTACTATACTGTCCAGCCAACAAAATCCAAAGCAAGCATGTACGAAATTAAAAATATGAAATGGCGACAATTTACACATTGCATTCTGTATATATATATTTACAGCAATAAAATTATCAAAGCCAGAAACATAGTTGTCTAGAGTGCTTATTGTAAAATATGAAATGCAGAGCAATATACAATTACGCTAAAAAAATACTTTAGGTGATCGCACAGTTATGATGGTAAAGGACAAGTCTAGCATAAATGACTCTGAATGAAAATCTCCATAAAAATAGAGCTGAAAGGGGGGAAGCTAGTCTGGTAGGTCTTTTTTTTAATCATTTCATCCCCAAGAAAGGCGATAATGCTACTAAGACGCAAGGGATTACTAAAAGTGGATGAGAATTAAAGAAAGGACAACAAAAGTACAGGTTTAGGAAGACAGAAAAATGCGATCGACGTTGCATTTAAATTTTTGAAGATTTTAGGGCAACAAAAATTCGGAAGGGAGTGCCAGATCTGAGAAGTGCAAGAGAAGAAACTATTAAAATAAAACTCATAATTACATCTAGGTATTAAACAATAAAACATTAAGACCTAATAGCCAATCTAGTAGCACGCTTAAATTCACGCGATGGAGGTACCAGTGTGAAGAACTCATTATAACAAATGTCATGAAAATATTTATAGAAAAGGCAGAGTGAAGCCACGTCCCGGCGGTGGGAAGGTGACTGAAGTCTAGATGCCAGGAATACACTGAATTCAAAACTTTGAAGTAAGTTACGGGAAATCTTCACAATTTCCAGATCAGATAGAAAAAGAAACTGTGGAGAGACATCATCGGCTATATCTTGAAGGAACAGGGCATGAAAGAAGATGTAAAAGATTTCCTTTGACAAGTACACAGGTGTATTTATTAGGGTAACAATTTGAAATGAATGAATTGTCAGATATGTGTTCATTAAAATAATTGACATTAAGCCAGTCAATTTTGAACCATTATCGTAGTATAAAATTTCTAAAAATAGTCACAAGAGTCACTATATTCCATAGTATAACAAGCACATATACTTTTCCTATTTCTCTTTCTTTCTTTCTTTCTTCCTCTCTCTCACTCTTTCTCTGTCTCTGTCTCTGTCTCTCTCTCTCTCTGTGCCTATCTATCTATCTATCTATCTCACTTCATCTTTCTTATAACAACAAATTGGGGTCTTCAGATTAATATTCATGTTGAATTTGTGGAGCTTGTTTCCTTTTAAGACAGATAACTTCCACCATCCCTTTACCAATAGTCGGGCAGTCTATCCCGCCGACGCTCATATATGGGTAAGCTCTGTATTAATTTTTCAACTGCTGTCTTTGTTAAATATTAAATTTTAAATCTCTAGTTCCGTCACTGAATACAGTCCACCATCTGGGTTGAATAAGACTGACGTATTTGGCGTCAGGTGAAATTGATTATACCCATGAGGTAATTTTGAATTTCTCTGTTATATATATATATATATATATATATATATATATATATATATGTGTGTGTGTGTTTGTGTGTGTGTGTTCCTATAATAGTACTTATTTTTACAATTGTAAGCGATCAAGTATTCAATCCTAGAAGACAGATCTGACACACACACACACACACACACACACACACATATATATATATATATATATATATATATATATATATATATATATATATAATAATAATGTATATAATATATATGTATATATAAATAAGAAGAAAGAACAGTAAGATATATACTCCGGTGTTATTATTGATATTTTTTTATTTTTAATATATATAGTGCAATGTCCTTTTGTGGCGATCATGGTTTTCTACAACACTCTGAGCGGTGTAGATCTTAACAATGTTTCCATTTTTTTATGCTTCTTAATCCCTGTGCTGCGAGGAAATTGTCCACTATTCACTGTCATATAGTAGGACTGATATTACACAAAACTTCAATACTCTGTTTTGAAAACATTTTTCATATCTTAATGAGGCTTTGGGTTTCAGTGTCACATTTTCCGTTCTCTGTTAAAAACAATTCCCAGATATTTAAATTGTTGTACTTATTTGATTTTAGTATCTCCAAGTGTACCTCTTGTTGCCATTGTCTCTAGAACTTAACTATTGCTCACATGTTCGGTCCATGGTATTCTTAGCATTGTTCTTTATAACATAATTCTATTGGGTGAAGTTTCTTCTTCAAAAAAGAAGTGGAATGAAGCTGGACGTGGCCGGTTAGGTCATCTAGACGCATTAGATACCAGAAATTTAAAACTGAAGTTTAATGTTAAGTATCCCTGCATTTTTAACATTTCTCTTGCTGTGTAATTACAACTGGCATTTGTTTGTATTTAATTCCTCCAATTTCTTCTTCTTCTTCTTCTTCTTCTTCTTATGTGCCATGTCACTTTCAAGACGTGTACGATCATAACTCTCCACAACTTTCTATTTCTCGTGACCCTTTCGTCAAGACCCCCGCCTTCTGTCCCGCCGTTCATTAACACAAGCTCATCAGTATACGGCCCGCTTCCTCCTTCTTATCTCTTGCCCTCTATATTCCCTGTGAGTGTTAAGTTTTCCAAGCCCTCTTTCCTCATTAATGTGTCCAATAAACTTCAGCTGCCTCATTATGATTCTGAGTATAAGTGTTCTTTTTTGTTGCTATTTTCTTCCACATTGCTTGCTCGCTCCGTCCGTGGTATTCTCAGAATCCTTCTGTAGTGTGAGAGAGAAAGAGACAGTCATGGTATACAGAGAACACGCTCCCAACAAATTATATATATATAGATATAAATGTAGATAAATAGAGAGAGAGGGAGAGCGAGAGAGAAAGAGAGAGAGAGAGAGCTCTGATACAGCAAAACAGTCTGTGTGTGGATGACAATATATATGCTCCTGAAAAATTTATTTCGGTTGAGCTCTCTGGGGAGAAAATGTAAGTTTGTAAACAATGACTATTACTGCTAATAATGCAAGACTCTTCGGTAAAGCGAATCGAGTTCTCTCAGTTACTGTGTATTTATCTAAAAATAAATACGCTTAAATTCACATTCATCCCTGCCGTGTCAACGGCTTAGAGCTAGAATCTCCGACTGACGTCATTTCAGCCGGGTCTCAATCCTAGCTGGAGGCTACCGGACGTCTAGCCACACTGATGAGTTGTGATACAGTGAAACAGTCTGTCTGTGGATGACTATGATATATATATATATATATATATATATATATGAGGAGAGAGATAAATGATTGAGAGAGAATCATTATATTCTAACATACGCCTCACATACACACATATATGTGTCTGTATGTGTATGTGTGTGTACGTAGAGAGAGAAAGAAAGAGAGAGACAGAAGGATGAAAAGCAATGTCTCTTCTTTTTTTGTTATTTTTTTTTTATTCTTCTTTATCTGAACTCCATTTCTCTTTAAGTCTTGAAGTTAAAAACAAAACAATAAAACAACCTTTTATTGTCTTTGTGTTTGATCTTGTCTTTAAATAACATTCCGAGACAAATTCCGCCTCGGGACTTCTTACCCTTTCAACAAGTCCAATCTACTTTACTAATGGAGGATACAAAAAAAAATTCATAAAATAATTTTATTCTCATTTTTAATATATATAGAATTCTGAAATTTCCCTTGACTAAAAATGAGATTCTGGAACTTTTATAAACCTGAGGAATTTGATCCGATTTCAAAAAAGCTTTCGACTTTCAAAATTATTATCTGTCGTATCGCTAATTATTCAAGCCGGGTATTGTAGATTTTACAAGCCTTTAATCAAGTCCTTGTCATTGACTTTTACCAAACAGAGCGCTTGCCGGAGAGCAATTATAGTCTTACATACTAATGAGTTCGTTCTATACAGGTTAAGTTAAACTTTCAGACTGCAGACTTGTCTCATCCCAACTTGTCGAATGGTGGAGTCTTCTGTCCAAAACATCGCTGGACCAGTGACCGGAGCAGATTAATGGTAGTTTCTGGATTTGAATATCGATTTTAAGTGAGCTTAATGATTATTTATGAGCGCTTCTTGAATTTAAAAATTTCGACAAACTAACATTTTTAATTTTGTTTATAAGTGCTTGTTGCAAAATAAAATCCTTACAATTTCCTCCATAAAAGTCATCAGAGGGCGAAATGCGTCGGCTAAAATAAGTTTTCTTTTTGTTTTTTATTCATATTATATACTTTTACAGATATAAAAGAAATTTTACATATATGAGGGGATAATGGAAGTCTTGAGACTCAACTCACTGACAAAATCACTAAATGTCAATGACCAAACGACAATTTTTTTCTTCAAAACCGAGTCTTTTCTTGGAATCCTAAGAACTTAAAATTTTTTTTCTCTCTCTCTCTCTCTCTCTCTCTCTCTCTCTCTCTATCTATCTATCTATCTATCTATCTATCTATCTCAGGTCTCTCTCTAAAGATTGTCTCCACACACGCGCGCGCACACACACACACACACACAGACACATTCACACACCCCACACACACAGAAACACACAGACACATTCACCCCCACACACATATATATATATATATATATATATATATATATATATATATATATATATATATATATACAGAGTGCGATGGGTAAATTGTCAACATTTTATATTTTTAATTTCGCGCATGCGCGTTGTTTGCTTTTGATTTTATAGGCTACAAACTTAGTAAGATTAGTTGAACACCGTCTGTGAGAAAAACAGTGCACCATGACGCAATTCACTCTACCAGAAATTTGGAAACGACATGCTGTACTGCTTGGCATTCGCAACAGAAGCTCCAATACGGAAATTTCAGTGTGTTTTGGTGTCACTTTGAGGACAGTGCAGAGGATTCAGAAATAGTTGGATGATATATCCAATAAACATGATGATGTTTGGAGTGATCACTTGTGATGGCAACGTTATGCCTCCATCCATCTTGCCACAAGGCCTCAGATTCAAAACGGTGGCCTACATCAAGTGCCTTGAGGAAGTAGTGCTACCATGGGTCAAGAGAGTGACTGCTAGAAGACCCTATATCTGGCAAAAGGACTCTGCGCAATGCCACACAAAGCAGTAGAATCCATTCATGGCTAACAGACAATTTCTGCGACCACATCACCTCTTACATCTGGCCGCCTAACTCCCCAGTAAGAAATTTTAAGGTATGCTACATTTACGGGTAAAACTGCTCAATATCAAGGATAGAGCGCTTATAAATATAAATGAATATATATGAAACTATCGCCGCACGATGTTAACCCTTGTACACACACACACACACACATATATATATATATATATATATATATATATATATATATATATATATATATATGTGTGTGTGTGTGTGTGTGTGTATATGAAATTTTATGAAGTATACAATAGATTCAGGACTCTACATGATGGGTTATTTATCAAATTTATATATAATATATATATATATATATATATATATATATATATATGAAATTATTTTTTTATAATTGTATTATTTATATTTTAGCTTTTCTTATTGAGTACTTTTTCCACTGCTGGGTTTTGTAAAAGTAGGTGATTCATCCAACTAAACCATATCATCAATACAAAGAATTATATATATATATATATATATATATATATATATATATATATATATATATATATATATATATATATAGTGTGTGTGCGTGTGAAGGTAGGGGCAGTTCGACATAGTGTACTGTCTCGAATAGTGAGATATGATTTTTTACATTCGTCCGCGCGAATGGTTGGACGTGAGGCTGCACGGCTGTATCAAATTACGTTTCCAGACCGAAGGTAGCCAAGTCATCCAACCTTGGCTGCTGTTTATCATCGCGTTGCTGAGATAGGATTGGTGGCACCATACACTATGAATCGAGGAAGACTGAGATCCGCTTGTACGCCTGACCACGAAGAGTACATTCTACAAACTGTCAAATGGCCCTAACATGTCGTACATCTTATAGTACCGCATGTAGGTTACTTCAAGATCACATCCTGTATGCGTATTCTTTGCAAAAAATTTGTAAAAGTATTTTAAGATTATATCTTGGATTGTACATTTAACAGCGTCTACCGTAAACCTTAAACTGTCTCTTCCGGATATCTAAGTACATTTAATTACCTTTAACTCAACTTTCCAAGTTTTTGGTTCGCCTCTACTGTTGCCAGGTATTGAACTCCCATGGCCTGACACATGGCCCAATGGATACAAGCGTTAGAACTTTGAACTAGAACAATCTACGCCAAGACAAAATAAAGGGTATGGTTCGAAATTCCAATCACCTGAACAAGGCCGTTGCGTATAACGACCGAAACGTCGTGAATATGGCAACAAAGATGAGGACAAAGGTCTGAACAATGTAAATTGTGTAAATAATTACAATACTTCATCTCAGAAATATAGACATATAAATGTATGTGTGTGTATTTTGTGTTTTGGTTATTTGAGGCTAATTCCTTGCTTTGTTTGGGTTTTTTATGATGACTTTTTATTCTTTGTATTTCTCTCTCTCTCTCTCTCTCTCTCTCTTTTTTTTTTTTTTTTTTTGGTTCTTCCACAGACGTCTGTTGTATCGAACTTTAATATATAGGGGTATACGGTTTCCTTTCCTATAAATGTTACGGCAACGTGACCTCATCAATTTACAGTTGAGTTAGCTAGATATTGTTGGAATTTTGGGGTAGCCTGGTACTAGTGAGCCAGCCAAAATGAGCTGACCCATTTCATAGTTCACCAATAGAAGGGTTAACCAATCAGATGGCTCAAAATATTCAATGCGACGTGTATAAAGGCGGCCATGTTTTTTGGTTTTTTTTTTTTTTTGAATATGCATTGCCAGCCTTTGATATCGAAGACTGAATAATTACGGAACCGCTGCTGGTGAGTGTTTAACGTTGTTTCATTGAACAGATTACGTACTGCGTTGTATTCTATATTCATAGACTATGGTGAACATGGTTAACAGATATAGCCGTAACTTCTATGCTAACAGTTTATTATCCAGCATTTTTCGCTTGTGGAACTGCCTTCTGGCTCCATGCTTTCCAGCCAACTTTAATCTTCAAAAATTTAAATTCAATGTCAATCGCAATCAACTGTCCTCCTGATTGCTCTTTTCTCTTTCTACTCATTACTAATCTTTCTCTTCCTAATTCCTCCACACCCTGTGTCCCATTGTGTGTTAGTGGCTGTACAGCCTTTTCCTTGGGGTAATACCGAGTAAAAAAATCCTCACCATATGCGTATTTTTTCAAAGAGGTAATAAAAATTATTTTCGGATTTTTTTTTTTTTGTTAATAATAATGGTTAGTTTCTTTATGAATATATTCTTTTTAATTCCCTCTGTAAGAAAGTACATTCTGGAATACAATAATTATAATGTCTGGACTTGAATATCGATTTTGAAAGTCGATTCCAAATGGTGCTTCACCTGAACAATCAGACGAATTAATGAAAAGAAACAGGGATAAGTTCCTACTGACGTTAATTAAGTTTGGCTCTTTCTGTCACAATGCTATAATTAATTGCGAGACACTCAGTTAGGACCCAGCTCACTACAATAGCAGTGATCTACGAGACTATATTATAAATAATTGGACGTCGACAAAATGACCAATTTTACTATTAAGGTTGCCACTCAAGTACTTGTGTACCAATGTTTATTTATGGATATCACAAAATTTCCGCGAAATAACAACACTTTTCTTCACCTTTTACCGTTCAGACAGTCACTTGCCCCAAAGGTAGTATTTCTTCCAACCGAGAAGTAATATTTCTGCAGAATAAACAATTCTGATACTCTATCGAGAATAAGTGTCTGTGCGTTTCCATATATATATATATATATATATATATATATATATATATGTAAAGAAATATAGTTTTAAGTTGTGCTATATTTATGGGATAAAGTGCTCAATATCAGAGATAGAGCGTATGTAAATATAAATATAAAAGTGAACATTGAAGTCAACACTCAGAGGCGACAGGCTGATTCATGCTGGACGCAATCGTCAAGCGGCCTGACCATAAATATATATTGTTTATAGCAGCAAGTTTTTAAAATATCTAAATCGTAATTGTTAAAAATTACAATTAAAACAATATTTTAAAACACGTAATTGCAATTTTTAAAAAGAATAAAATTAAGTTACCTCCCTTACATAGCGGTAATTTTTTTTTTCGAAATTTACAGCATTCATGCTCATATATTCCTAACTCACATTAATTCTTTGTCTTAGCCATTCACTCCAGAAGATGATTTTTGGGTAAGATTGAAAGTACTTGGAAAAATAAAAACCATATGGATAATTACGGCATTTTTCTTGATCAGTTTTGTACTAACACTAAGAAATTAATCCGTGAATTTGAGAGGATAAAAATAAAAACACATATATATATACATGTGTGTGTGTGTGTGTGTGTGTGTGTGTGTGTAATCCTCAGCATCATTCTGCAGTACCACACTATTGCATAACAGTTAAGTGTACTTTTCTTTGTTTGTAACGAGATCTTCCTGTTTCTTAATACTTCCTTACTGTTTAAATTTTTTACTTGCCTAATTGTGACATCCCCAATTTGTAATTCACATGTTGGACTCATTTTGCTGACAACCATATATAACGTATTAACACAACAGAGAAAAAAAAGGTAAAGCATTTATTTTAATGTTTGTACTCAGTTTGGCTGTAAATAATTTACTAATGAGAATTGTTAAAACAGTCTATGTCAGTTTCAAGATACATGTTGTTTATGTGATTCGTGATATCAACATGAGAATTTATTTAGCAATAAAGTTGATGGTCTCATATAACAGCGATAACATAGAAGATGCCACCACAAATGCTGAAAGCATATAAAGAAATATAGAAGCAGAATAAACTATAGCCGGAAAAATAATTAAACTTAATCCGATCAAATTTCCTATTGTTGTCAGCGTGCGTAAAAATCCGAAAGCGCATTGAAACAACGAAATATGCCTTCCAAAAGCTAAGTAAAGTATGAAATATAAAAAAAATCGTTAAAGTAGGTATATTCATGAAATCCATATAAAATAGCATAGCATGAATAAAAAAAGGCCTTAAACTTGATGAAAATAATTTTTATCGTCTAAATGTTTATGTTATTATCAAGAGGGAAGATCAATATATTTTTGATCATTTTTTAATAATTTCTAGCACGTTCAAAATTTTCGTTAAATATCTTGTATTTGTTTTGAATCAGCAAAATTGACAGAAAATCGATCGTTAGCCATTTTTTTTTAACTTTTTTTACAAAAGTTAGTCTCCGTTTAAAATTCTTTTAAAATCATAATTGATTATTTAAAAAACTAATTTAAGAAAATTAGAAATTATAAAGTTCATTTAATATATTTTGAAACAAACATTACTTACTTTCTGCGCTGAAAAATGTACTTTAA